GAGTCAGCTGCTGTCCTAGCACTGAGAACTTTAATCGGCAGGATGCTCGTGACCTTCCCTGGAGGGGATTTCCAAGGTTACACAACGCCAAACCCGGCCGCACCAGGGAACCACGTGAAGCCTTTGTGAGAAATCAAAGAAAACAATGAACAACACTATGATTTTATATAGCATAGAGTAGTAGTTAAGCTCAAACCCGTACGCCACTGCGATTTGGTTTAATGTGTGCAAATACCTACTGATTTCGGAACCCCGAAGGAAAATTAAATTGAAAGAGCTTAGTGCTAAGCACAAAATACCTCTGCAACACCAACTGTGGCTTCTCCTGCCTCTTTAGATAGCTTATATCAGGAGAGGATAGAAAAACGCAAGGAATTCAAGACATCAGAGACATGAGAAAAACTAGAGCACTAAAACTCTGCATGAGAAATAAGGCTATTAGAATTTTCAGGTATGCTGGAAAATGAAAGCGGGCCACGACTGATTTCGAATACGCCAACACTACCTCCTGGACAGCTACTTGAACATTTATCAATGTCCAGCCAGTCAGGCAGCTGGGAAGAGAGGGGAGGGGGTGGAGAAATGGAACCACGCCGGCTGTAGGTCTTCTACATTAGAAGGATGCCGGGAACGCCCAAAAAGAAGCTAGGTCTGGAATGTTAATTAGTGTGAGGTGATAAAATTTCTTTTTGCGGAATGTGGCACGAATCAAGGTATGTCTGAGACACTGCTTTAGGGGCAACTAAAAAACAACCTAATTTTAGGAAAAAGTTGAAATAAAAAGGAATCGGTTTTGGCTTATTCGTCCTCTTAACTGTAAGAAGTCAAAATTAATATAGACGCAACTTTCCCTAAGGAGGTCTTTAAGTGAGGCTTGCTAGTTCCAGTTCATCAACGTGAAGACAAATTCTGACAGGACAGAGGCGTATTTTTACGAACACCAAGAGTAATTACAAACACTGATATGTTTAAACTAAGGCTCCAATATTGAAAGAAACGAAAACTCAAAAAAGGAAAAGGGCAGCGCTTGAGGGCACAGAAGGCCATCAAGATAAAAACCTACTTTAGAGTCGAATTCCAAGAGGTCCTCGGGATAGTTTGAGAAAACATTCGTTGTAAAACTAGGAGCATCGACAACGTTTTCTACCCCAACAATGACCTCAATCGACTGTGAAGAATCATCTCCCACGAAAACGACAGCTCCGTCTTTATCCCTTTTTTTTAAGAAAGATGAGCCATTAAAACGAGTTTATTCTGTAAAAGTGTGCTACTATATAAATAAAAATAGTGTCTAACGTTTGAAAAATAAAATACAGATTAGTTAAAAAGCAAACCAATCGGAAAAACAATGACTGCGGTTCAGCAACGTGCAGAGCATCAAACTCTTGCACCATTGGGCGCCTTCGAACACATAAAGCAATCTATTTGAAGGCAGTAGGCATAATTCCTTGAATGTGCGGTCTGGGTGAAATAAATATCTGAACTTGAAACCGGCAGGCAATCGGCATTAGACGAGTGTGATTTTGTTGCACACTACATTATCCGGAATATATATATTTGTGTCCTTGCTGCCAATTACGAACTTCTCTCCCCACTGCCTAAGCTCTCTGCAGGGTACCGGATATCAGCGAGAATTTAACGTTGTGATATTGCGAGGACCGTCCAGGCGCAATTCCCCCAAAACAAGTGCCATCTGTCCGCGTGCAAAGGTCTTGTTCAGCAAAAAATACATTGCGGCTTCATTCGACCATGGACCAAGAGGAACCTGTCATCCCCATTGCGCCTTTTTGCGTCAATTCACGACCTTTTCGAGAAAGCACGAATAAATCTGCTATCCGCTCAGGCGAAGTGCTAAGCGGTGGCCCAAGGCAGACACCTCCAGCAAATAGTTTTGGGCCTTAACAAGGAGGCCTTTACATTTGGCCGCTAAAGCCAGGCAAGACAGCAGAAAGGGCACAGATGCAGTGACAAACTGGTAGACGACATGGCACGGCTGACAGCATCGCACGCAGCAATCTGAGGCGGTGCTAATGCATTTATCAAGTACAACACCTCCTAGGTTATTTCCAGAGATTCCTGAATTTGGGACTTATGTAAGAATAAAAGAGGATATTTGGATTCCCCGACATAGGAAGTTGTCGGTGGTTGGTCGCTCTCGCCTAAAGGGATAATTACGGTCAGTTTATACCTGTTCAGTCACCATCGTTGCAGGATGTGGGTTTGCAGTGAGTTTCAGGGACATACGGCCGCTGATGGAGACCTTTTGTAAACTTTTGGGAATAAGAGAAAGACGCCCAAGAGTCTTGGGATCGGCGAACAAAGGTTTGCGCAAGCCGATAGTACGTTACCTTGATTTTCCGGTATCCTGGGTTTAATAGTGTTTTACAGTTTACACTTCTTGCTCTTTGGGGCCTCTCAAAGCCCAGTATGATTAGAGGTGGTAAGCTCATCTACTTCTTCCACATTTATCGGAAGTTAACTGATGCATAATAATTTATCGAGGATCTACTAAAATCACGTTCTTATGAGGTATTAACGGCCTTTGGGGTGCCTACGGAATATGCAACTACTGAAAGATAATTTCCACAAGTTTATGTACTGAGCCAAATATACTTTGAAAAAATTAAAACAGTGGTACAAGGAACCTCATATTGTGTTCTAAATTCACCATAAGCAGTGCTACTAACTTCTTCTGTGTTGCAAACTTTCGCCTCTGTGAAAACTCAGCTCGATTAACAAAGTGATCTTGAGAAAATTTTAGGAGGTTCCTGAAACCGCACCATATGCATGACGCTCTTACCTAAGAGTATTAAGTGTCTTGCCAAACGTAAGTAGTAAAACGCAGTTTTAAAAATTGAACGGTGGACAAGTAGTATGCAAAATGCCCTCACCTAGAGCTTCTTGCGCTGATCCAGTTTTAATAGACTCGTAAGACCCCTCACCTACGTTCACAAAGGTATGTACATACAAGCTGATGTCGGAAAAAACCCGATTGTAGCCTTGGAGATTGGTTTGCCGTATTAAAATACTTCACTAGTTATGTCCTGTCGATAAAATCTACGTATTCGTCAGAACACTTGTGATTTTCAGGCTTTATACGCTAAAGTTGGAGAAAAATAATTACAAAGTGTGACAGCAGAGCAAATGTAAAGACAGGCGCCTTTGCCATGTCATATACTTCGACGAATTGACGTTTCCGTTACGATTAATGTCAGTTTGCAAGCACACGTGGTGAAACAGGGAAACAAATCAGCCAAGACAGCTGTTTTTTTTCTAGATATGTAGGCTTGGCCACATGAAACATAAGCATACTTAGCAGACGGAAAGATATAACGAAATTGACGAGGAGAAAACGTGATATCTAAGGCGTTAATTTATGGCTTATTTGCAGTTTTCTTCCGATCACTTTTAAGGAACTCAGAGCTGGTTTGGAATTAAAATTCGACTAAAGATAGACTCGAAATCTTGAAATACAGAATATCGCTTTGAACTTGTGTTCAGAAGTCCTCTGACAACCTGGGCAATAGTACTTACGGATGTGAACTTTCAACAAGTCCGACTGCAAAGCGAATAATTTCCTAGGTTTCTAAGCAGAAAGTTACCTATTCACGCAAAGACATTACGAAATACTTAGGAGAGAACGAGATCAACCTAAATCCTCTATTTGTAGCAGTTTGTGGCGTAGAGGAAGACGCGATCTCTGGAACGATAGTTTTATTCTGAGCTTACAACAAGAACCTGGGGCACGCATGTTCGCTTCTATTCGTGAGTTTGTAGAGTGTCCTTCAACCCTTAAATTGAGCAATTACAGCAAAGTCTCGACATCCAGAAATGCGAAGCGTTTTACAAAGCACTCCAATTCGATTCATGTCCAGGCTCCAAGCACATAACCCCTCAACTAAAAGCCATATTTAGGTCATCGTATCCAATCCAAAGATGTAAGATTCGCGTGAAAACGGTAGCTTGAAAGTAAAAGGCAATAAGATCTCCCACTGCCCAAGAAGCGCATAGTGTTGAATTGTGCGTGATTGTACTTTGCATAATGAAGATTCATACACTGGTTGCCACTTTATTCTCACACGCATCGTGACTCAGTGATGATAAAAAGTCGAAACGACTAGAGGTGGATGAAT